TCGCCCTGTATTGCCCTGTATTCCCTGTTATCTCCCTGTATCACCTTGTATTGCTCCGTGTCCCCCTATGTCACCCTGCATCACCCTGTATATGCCTGTATCACCCCATATCATCCCTGCATTGCCCTGTATCAGCCCTTATCGCCCTGTATCTCCCTCTATTGCCCTATACCACCCCGCATTGCCCTCTATCTCCCTGTATCAGTCTGTATTGCCCCATATCTCTCTGTATCACCCTTTATCACCCCATATCACCCTGTATCTCCCTGTATTGCCCTATATCACTCTTTACCACCCCAAACCATTCTGTATCACCCTGTATTGCTCTGTATCACCCTGTATTGTCCCATCTGTCCCTGTATCACCCCCAGTAGGTCAGCGACACACACAGACCATGGATTTGAGGCTCATGTAGTCCAGAAATATCAGGTGCTGCAGACACCTGAATAAATGAGCAGCGTAAGAAAACTATTACAATTTGCAGTTAAATGATTAAAAAAGTATTCAGGCATAATCTTGCCTTTGAAACCAAGTGGTTTTAAAGCCATTGAGATAATTGAAAAGTGTCTGTTGGCAAGGATAGATTGCATCAAATGTCAGGTGGGATTTTACAAAACAGTGGACTGTATATTACATCATAATAAAGACCCTTAGTGATCTTCATGATGAAGTAAAAAAGTTAGTAGATCTAACTCAAATATTGAAAAAACATTTACTTTTTCAGTTTGCGTAATGGCCATGTCAGGTGGTGCAGCCCATGGAAAGCCACGGGAATATTGTAATATGATGAAACTCTTTATTTCTCTTTAAAACCTATATATTTGATTTCAAACAGATGCCTGTTTACTTTGAAAAGAGAGAATAGGCAGATGCCACAACCGCAGTATATTATTACTGATCATAAATGCAAAAAACAAATAGTCATTAGCAATGTCTGGTGCATTGTAGACATTTATGTGGTCACTTTGTAATGGTTATCGTTTGGGAAAAACAACTTGTAAAATAGGCAGTGAAAACCTTATTTGTCAATCACCCAGCAGCAAGCAGCTGAATATCTCACCTGGTTGTGCTGAAGTCCTGCCCAGGCAGCAGACAGACAGAGGGTCGGCCTGGGAGACGGAGAACGAGGATCACCTCCACAAAGAGACACACTCTCTCTCTCTCTTTCTCCGAGTTTGGAGGCTGCGTGTGACTTTTTTTAGCAATCCGTGATTAATTAATTACGCCAGACGATGGCCACCCACTCCCCACACTTCCCGTTGCCTTCCTCGTCTCGCTGTCTCTTTTTAGTCCCGCCTACTGCTGCTAGAAGCTGCTGTTGGTGTCAGAGAGGGTGAAACTCGTGTGTGAGAGAGCTGGTGCGTACGTGCCAGGGTGTCGGGGAGCACTGTAAAGCAGGGATTATAGTACAGGAAGGTGGTGGGCTTTCAGATTAACACGAGCACAATAGCTATTAGACCGATCAGTCACTCAGAGCCTGTCTGTGATGATCGGGTGCAGACAGGCTATCACACATCCCTATATTACTGCGCAAAGTTGTCACAATGGATGATTGAAACAGGAAATGCACATTTAGCACTTAGTATGAAATATACACATATAGCTGTTGGCAGAACATCAGGATAAAAAAAATTCTTATTCATCCAGTGTGCTAGAAGTTAAACTACAGTCCACAACATGTGCGTGTATGTATCTCATCAGCTTTGTGTACTAGTGCCCCCTATGGGCTTGCATGTGTACGTGTCTATGTGAGTGGGCGGTCAGACAGCATTTGAGCAGTACAGTGTTGCACTGCAGAACAGTAATGGTATGGTCACTTCTGCAGTACAGCGTTCCAGTGAGGAACAGTGAAGGTGTGGTCACTTCTGCAGTATAGCATTCCAGTGCAGAACAGTGACGGTATGGTCACTTTACAGAATTCCAGTACAGAACAGTGACACAATGGTTAAGTTTTGTGGGATCTGCTGTTTGGCCATGTTGCCTGGCTGACACGTGAGTCTCTCTCAGGAGTTATTTCCTGTCCCTAGAAGGTTCGGGTAAGAGTGGGCCTCCTTCAGTACAGTCAGAAGACCTGTAGAGGCATTTTAAAGGACTGGTGTTAGCCAGTGCTCACCACACTTCCCAGAACAACTCCTCTGAGGACCATTTGCCTGATTTTGCCTGGTTGACATCTATATCATTAGATGGCAATCATTAGTCTATGTGTAATCATGTAATAAAAAAAACTAGAGTCTTGCACTTAGTTTGGTTACTTATGGTTAAGGTTAGGGCTGGGTAGGGGTTAAGGTTGTCATAGTTAGGATTAGGGTTTTTCCCCATAGAAATGGATGGTCCCCTTGAGATATGAATACAAATTTGTGTGCGTGTGTGTGTGTGCGTGAGCGGGTTTACCTATCCTAATGGGGACACAATGTCCCCATAACATGATAAATATCCATTTTTTTCCCTTATGGGGACCGGTTTCCTGGTTCCCATAAGGGAAAACTCTATTTCATAAAAATCGGTGACTGCTATGAAAAAACTAAAAATGCAAAAACTCTTGTATTTTGTTTGGTTACTTATGGTTATGGTTAGGGCTGGGTGGGGGTTAAGGTTGTCATAGTTAGCGTTAGCATTTTTCCCATTGAAATGAATAAGCGGTCCCCATAAGGATATGTTTACCCTACATGTGTGTGTGTGTGTGTGTGTGTGTGTGTTCTGGTGAAATTGAGTGCCTGCGTCCCTGACTTGGCTCCTATGTCAGTTACTTTATATTTATATGCCCAAAGCCATTTCCAGTCTTTGCAGCTCCCTGTACGCTGGTAGCAGAGTCACCAGCCAGCTTCCCCCACACCCTGTTTACCGCAGCACTGCTTCACCCACACCTTGCTCACAGCAGCACTGCTTCATCCACACCCTGCTCACAGCAGCACTGCTTCACCCACACCCTGTTCACCACAGCACTGTTTCACCCGCACCTTGCACACTGCAGCACTGTTTCACCCACACCATACACACCCCAGCACCGTTTCACCCACACCCTGTTCACCGCAGCACTGCTTCACCTGCACCTTGCACACCACAGCACTGCTTCACCCGCACCCTGCAGCACTGCTTCACCCACACCCTGCTTACCGCAGCAGTGTTTCACCCACACGCTGCTCACCCCAGCACCGTTTCACCCGCACCCAGCTCACCATAGTACTGCTTCACCTGCACGCTGCTCACTGTAGCACTGCTTCACCTGCACATTGCGTACCGCAGAACTGCTTCACCCACACCCTGCTCACCGTAGCACTGTTTCACCCGTATCCTTCTCACTGCATCACTGCTCACCGGCACATTCCTCACTGCAGCGCTGCTTCATCTGCACCTTGCTTACCGTAGCACTGCTTCACCCACACTATGCTCACTGCAAGCCCTGTTTCACCCACACCCTGCTCACTGCAGCACTACTTCACTGGCACCTTGCTCACTGCAGCACTGCTTATCCTACCCCTGCTCACCGCAACACTGGCGTTTTACTCACGCCCTGTTCACTGCAGCACTACTTCACTGGCACCTTCCTCACTGCAGCACTGCTTCACCCACCACTTCGCACCACTGAACTGCTTTACCCACACTTTGCTCACCGCAGCACTGCTCACTCAGACCCTGCTCACTGCAGCACTGCTTCACCCACACACTGCTCACCGCAGCACTGCTTCACCCACCCCCAGATCTTCCTGGACATGGAGCCAAAAAGCCCATCACTTCAGATCACGTTTCAGGATTCGTCTCTGGCTGAGTCCTGGATAGTGCACCAGTGTCAGCAGGTATTACCCAAGTGGCGAGCATGCATGAGGTAGCTAGCTGATGATTCACATTCAACCCTAAAGCACACATTGTTTCACCTAAATACAGCTGGTGCCACGGTTACTCTACCAGCCATTTGAGCCTCTTCTGCTCACAAGCCTCTGGCTCCTTCCTATAAGTGTGGGTATGTGTACATCTGTGAGTTTGTGGGTCTGAGGTGGGCATCAGTGAGTCCATTCGCTACAGATTCCACCAGACCAGGTTTTGTGTGCATTCATGCCTTGTTTCTATATGTGAGAGCAACTGAGATGTGTTTTTCGAGCCTATGTGTGTGCTTAATCACTCCTCCCGTCATCCGGAGTACTATATCCGTTAGCAGATGGTAAGAGGTAAAACATAGACCTTCCTCAGGGAGTTAGGATTCAGTGAAGGTATGTGTTCAAGCACACATTATCGCGCCAGCTTGTGCAGATCTCAGCTTCGAGCTGGTGACGTCATCCCGGTTAGGGTCATGCTGTGGCCAGGTGGCGTGCGGCCTTCAAACGGGGGGGGGGGGGATATTAGCTTTATCGTCAGCAGGCTGTACTGGTATGACTTTGCGCAGCAGTCTGAGAAGAACCAGAGCATGACGGACATCTGGCTGTGAAGCTGTATGGACACGGGTGGACATGTTACTTCAAGTCCCGGCCCAAAGTGTTCACTTTCCAGCACCCTCCGTAGCTGCATGTTGTCCAGTTTCTTCCTTCCCTCCCCCCCCTTAAAGGAAATGGACCGGGCTGCTGCCGGCTTACATCATGCCCAAGGACATTCTCTGTCTCAGAGCGTGCGTGGCTCACGTCACCGGGCCCACCCACTGTGATCCGATTCATTCCGCCAGCCTGCGTAATGTGTAATCCAGCGATCAGTGCCATTGCCGTACGGGGTCCTTGTTTTGGGAAATGTATTTGTCGAGTATGTGTTAATTCCCTCAAAGAAAGGTCTGGTATGGATCTGGGATAGCTTTGGGATGCTGGCCGGTAACACCAGCGAAACGGCAGTGAGCAGAGGTCTGTGTGACAGCGCCACCATGTGCCCAGTGGAAGTGCTGCTGATTACCTGGGCTGACCTTCAGGTTATTAACAGTTTATTAACGAGTGGGTGGGGTGCAGCTGGTCCTGGCTCCAGCCTCCTTTTCCAGGATGAGGTGCTTCCAGTTCTGTTGGACTTCCTTAACCAGGCTGCCTCACTCCTTTTGAATACATGATCCTGGCCACCATCATCGCCAACTGCATTGTCCTGGCACTGGAGCAGCATCTGCCTGACGGGGACAAGACCCCCATGTCCGAGCGCCTGGTAAGGCCAACCCGTCTGCAGCTGCCCCCCCCCCCCCCACACACACACAGACTGGACCCCGCAGGCCCACACAGACACACACACTCCCACTAAAACCCATCTCTCCAAACTGCTCCGCAGCTGAACCTCCTGCTCAGGCTAATCCTCCATGTGCAGTACAAAGAGATCCCAATTTACGCAAGAGCCGCGTTCTCGCGACGCTCGTGTATTTCCGATCTTGCGTAGTCTGCACAATTTCTTTGCCCATTGAAAAATAAAATAGCAATGATATAACTCTGTGATTAGTGTTAATTTTCAGAGACATACATGAGGATGTATGGGGTTATTTTAAAATGGCATGGTTTAAGGCTGCACAGCCCTGCTAAAGCTGACAGAGCTGCCCCCCCCCCCCACAGGACGACACAGAGCCCTACTTCATCGGCATCTTCTGCTTCGAGTCAGGCATCAAGATCCTGGCCCTGGGCTTTGCTTTCCATAAGGGCTCATACCTGCGCAACGGCTGGAACGTCATGGACTTCGTAGTGGTGCTCACCGGGTGAGTGTGACACACACATGCACACACACACATGTTGTTGGCGTGCCCTTTTTCTTGACACACACGCGTGCGCACAGACACACACACGCACACACACATACACACATGCACACACACACACATACACGCATGCACATGCACACATACATACATGCACATGCACACACACATGCATGCACGCACACACACGCACACACATACACGCATGCGCACACATACATTGCTGTCAGCGTGCCCTTTTACTTCACGCACATGTGTGTGCACAGACACATGGTGAGTCATTTGGGGGGGGGGGGTGTGATCAGAGCCCCCGGCCGGCCCCCCTCCCTCACCCTAACGAGCATGGGGACATGGCTTCGATCACAGCCAGGGAGTTGCCCAAATGTCACCTCGACGGGCGGTCTGGGCAAGGGGGATGAAGGGAACGGAGGAGTGGGAAGGAGAGAACTGAGAAAGAGAGAGAGCAAATGGAGGGGAAAGATGGGGAAAGAGAAAAGGACAGTGGGGGGTGACAGGGAAGCGATGGTGGTGACACTACAGAAGACTGACAGGCCGAGCTGCAGGGACGCCTGGCCTCCTCAGCTTTTACAGTCTGCTCCCTCCTTCGTATGCCCTCCATCTTGCACTCCTTCAGCTCCCTCCCTGTCCTTGTTCCGTCAGAGCCGGGGCCTGAGGGCCCACAGATCGTGACAGGCCCTGTCAGGGCTGATAGCTGCGTGCCGGCGCTGCCCCTAGGCTGTCTGCACACCTGTGTCATTCCCCCATGGTCACTATCTGCTGAAGGGCCAGTCGTGGAGAGTGAGGGCAGGATCCGGGCAAACGGGCACCTTAAGTGGGTCATGGAGCCTAGAGCCCCACCCTCCCTGGGGCTTCCCTCCCCCATGGGCGCCGGCCCCACCTGCCGTCTGGCACACAGCTGTCTGCTGGGGGCTGTGAGTATAGCCCTTACTGGCCGGCGGGGCTCGGTGTCTGGAGAGAGCTTGCAGACCAGGTGTGAGCGCCTGTGTGTCCGTATGTGTTCTGTGTGTGTGTGTGTGTGTGTGTGTGTGTGTGTGTGCAAGGGAGTGTGTTGTGCCTGGTGAACACCCAGAACATGAAGCAGGTTACGTAAAGCCTCACTGGCAATGATGCAGGCAGGACTCTCGCTGGCCTGCTGGTGTACGACGTGAGCTGCGTTATGGCGATGATAGCCTGCATCTATACATCAGCAGCCTGCATCATCGAGGAAGCCACCCAATCCAGGCAGGCTGGGGGGGGGGGGGGGGCAGCCTGGCGCATACAGGGGTCTTGGAAGAGAGTGAGAGACACGGGAGAGACAGGGGTTTGGGGGTTTAGGGACAGGGTGGGCAGCAGGCAGTGACGTTGCAGTGCGTGTTGGATCATGTGATCATGCCTGGGGCTCGGGATAGGAGGAGAAAGGGCAGGGAGAAGCAAAAGTGTGCCGGGGGTGGGGGGAGAGATCATCAATTGAGACTGAAAGCGAGAGCGATGAGGGAAAGGACAGAGGCAAGGTGGAGGGGAGGATATATAGACCTATAAGCGGACAAGCTGGGGAGAAAGCTGGATGAGGAAGAGAGAGAGGACGGGGGGGCAGAGGCAGAGCAAGCCAATGAGAGAGAAAGAGGCAGTGGGAGGAGACAGAGGCAGAGCCCTCCAATGAGAGAGAGAGAGGCGCTAGGAGGAGACAGGGGCAGAGCTGGCCAATGAGAGAGAGGGGGGGTGGGAGGAGACGGGCAGAGCTGTCCAATGAAAGAGAGACAGAGGGTGGGAGGGGGCAGAGGCAGAGCCGGCCAATGGGGGAGGGGGCATGTGCCTATGCTGCTGCAGTAACCTGTTTTTTACTGCTGCAGATGATCAATCATCCACTGGAGCCCTGAGACTCCATAACAGACGCATTCCCTCACTCGCTCCTGCTCTCCTCCTCTCAGTAATGAACACCAGCTCCTTCCCTTGCGGTTTTTAACTCCACATGCTTGTTTTCCCTCAGACACACTAGTTACTGTGGAAACCCACCTATTTTCGGTCCAAATAATCCAAGCACACATTGTCTGTGGATGAGATGGATGCGTGTGTGTGTGTGTGTGTGTGTGTGTGAAATGCTGAAGCACATGGGTGTTTAAGGGCCCTCGCCCTCCCCGCCGCTGTCTGAATGCCCCCCTCCCCATCTGCGGCTGATGTTGGCTCTTGGCTGTTGGCCACAGGCCACTTTGAAGAAAAAACAATTCTGTCCTTCCGCAGCTTCGCTCTCTCCTTTGATTCCTATTTGCAGGTTGACACTGGCTCGCTGAGACGGACGTGCGGTGGACACGTGTTCCTGCACATCCTTACACGGTCACGCGGCACCAGCAGCGCGTGCCAGCAACTTACTGTCACTATAGAGGGATTCATTTAAACCAGAGGCTCTGAGATGTGTCTTGCTGAAGATTGGAGTCTCCTTTATAAAATGGAAGACTCGTCTAGTGCCTACAGTGTTCATGTTCTGGAAGGACCCATCACGGGTGCAACTCAGAGCAAACACGCTTAGAAGAAGCACATAGTTGTGGCAATTCTAGGATTGTTTGTGGTGGGGGGCATAAGAGGGGCCATAATTCATACAGAGGAGCCAGCCCTATGGTTAGCCAATGATATATTTTGAATCGGTGAGCGACAGAGGAGCGGGCACTCCAGGGGCCAATCAGCTTTCAGCTGGGGCCAGTGCCTCTGTGGCCACGCCCCTGTATACGCCCCAACAGCCCAATTACAGGGCTGTACTCTGATCTGCACAATCCCTTGTCCTTAAGTTCCATTCTGGCCATCAGAGCTCAGGCAGCTGCTGTCCATGGTGCTGAATGTCTGCCCAAACTAAGGGGAAGTGCTAAGTGTTCCTGATGGAGGAAGGAGGTTAAGGTTGGCTTCCTGTGCCCTATTAGTCATCAGCTGGCCCCACTCCCATTCCTCTTTCAACTTCTGGTTCTTAAACCGATCAGTGATTGGCAGCATGTGTGATCGTATTGTTTTAACTGCTCGCAGGTGCCGTCTGCGGCGCTGCTTGCCGTTCAGTGTGTTGCGCCATGTTCCACAGCGTGACCTCGGCTCTGTCCTCGGCGTCCAGGCTGTCTGTGCGGATTGTGAGCCGGGCACAAGCGACGTCCGCCCAGCTTGTGAAGTCGTGACTCTGCCGACGACACGTCTCTCTGCGCAACGTCACTGCTGGTGTCACAGGCACAGTGGGGAGTGAAAGGGCGATTGAGGCAAGGGAGAGAGCAGCAAGGGAGAGAGCAGCAAGGGAGAGAGCAGCAAGAAAGAGGGAGAGGCAAGGGAGAGAGGCAAGTTATAGACGGACAAGGGAGAGGCAGGGGTGAAGCAACAGAAAGGGGAAAAGGAGAGAGAGGCAAGGGTGAGAGAGGGAGAGACAAGAGAGAGAGAAGCAAAGGCGAGAGAAGGAGAGGTAAGGGAGAGAGAGGCAAGAAAGAGGTGCAAGGGAGAGAGAAAATGGAATGACAGACAAGGGAGAGACCAGGGTGAGGCAACATAGAGGGGCAAGGGAGAGAGCAGCAAGGGAGAGAGCAGCAAGGGAGAGAGGCAAGAGAAAAAGGCAAGGGCAAGGGAGGCAAGAGTGAGAGAGGGAGAGGTGAGAGAAAGAGAGAGAGGCAAGGGCGAGAGAGGGAGATGCGAGAGAGAGGAGTGAGGAAGAGGCGAGAGAGAGAGGCTAGAGAAAAAGGCAAGAGAGGGACAAGGGGAAAGGCAAAGGAAAGAAGCAAGGGGGAGAGAGGCAAGAGAGAGAGGAGTGAGGGAGAGGCAAGAGAGAGAGAGGAGTGAGGGAGAGATAAGAGAGAGAGAGAGGAGTGAGGGAGAGGCAAGACAGAGAGAGGCAAGAGAAAAAGGCGAGAGGAACAAAGGGGGAGAAGCAAGGGAGAGAGTCACAAGGGGGAGAGAGGGAGAGGCAAGAGAGAGAGAGGCAAGTGAGAGATACAATGGAGAGAAAGGCAAGGGGGAGAGAGGGAGAAGTAAGGGAGAGAGAGGCAAAGGTGAGGCAACAGAGAGGGGCAAAGAGAGAGAAGCAAGAGAGAGAGGGAGACAAGAGAGAGAGGCAAGGAAGAGAGGGGGACAAGGGGAAAGGCAAGAGAAAGAGAGGCAAGGGAGGCACTATACAGAAACACATTCACACTCAGACACTGAACAGGTACACGCTACACAACGACAGATTCGCACTCAGACACTGAACGGTACACGCTGCACGATGACAGATTCGCACTGACACTGAACAGGTACACGCTGCACAATGACAGATTCGCACTGACACTGAACAGGTACACGCTACATGACGACAGATTTGCACTCAGACAC